CTTGTAACTGGCAGCTCTTTCTGTGGTGGCTAACGTCTTTTAAACAAAAGTTCGCCAGCGCCTGCTCTTTCATAACAGCTGTGGTCACCGTTTCCACTCCAGAGTTGCACAGAGCACATGACTTGGGGTGCAGGCCTGTGGGGTTGGCCCGCAAGGCTGGAGGAAGGACCCCTACACTGGTAGGGTAGACATGGGCGAGCAGCAGAACGGAACTGGCTCCTAAGCTGGGCTCTGCTCAGAAGGGAAGAAGGGAAGGGAAGAAGCTGTTTGGTGACAGGGGGTTCTGTGGGGGTGAGCGGTTCTGGAAACTCACGGAGGTGCCATTGACGCTCCACAGGACCATGGGTTTCGGGGAGCCCTCCGCCTCGCAGATCAGCACCTTGTGTTTCCCGTCCTCACCCCTCTGTTTGTCCAGCCTCTTGATGACTGGCACACCTGCAGGGGACACGGGGTCATCAGTTACACATCAGAACCATGGGGTACACCTGTGATCCCACTCAGAGCTCTGAAACCCTGCTTACAGTTGCAGGGTGATCAATCTTTACCCAATATGGTTTCCAGGCAACGCACCAGACAATAAACATTACACGTGTGAATAATAAAGACGACTGTAGTTAGTGCCAACTTCCAAAAACACAGAAAAGTACTTCCATACCTTCAACAACTAGTCCCAAACAACAGATAAGTACCTTTACTTTCAATTCCCACTTCTAAAAGCAGGTCAGACAAACGGCTTCAGCGAACAGTTTGGAACCGAGAAATATGCTATCATCGACCAGCAGAAACATCAAGCATGCACCTTCAACAACCGGTTAACACCAGCTATAACCTCACATAGACATGTGACTTCAACACCTGGCTCGACACCCAGGGCTGACAGGTACCTTCAACAACCAGCCTGAAGGAGCGTCTTTGCGTGAGGCCTGCCATGGAGACTTCACACACATAATTTCCGGAGTCCGAGTACTTCAGCTTGTCAAACCTGGGCTGCTTCTCCAGCTTGGTGTTGTCCTGCAAGAAAAACAGCCGCCTATTAACAGAACCACACTGCATTTACATTACATTTATTCATTTGGCAGACGCTTTTATCCAAAGCGACTTACAAGTGAGGTACAATACAACACAAGCGAAAAACCACAGAGTCAACAATATTAGAAGCGCTGCATGACCAGGTTTCGAAGGTTGGTCAGGCAAGGTACAAACTAGCAGGTGTTTTTTTTTTTATAATTTTATTTTATAGTTTAGTAGGAGACAGTTTCAGACATGAGAAGTTCCTTTAGGTGGCAGCGTTTCAGAGGCTCAGGTGAGAGCGGAAGAGCTGTGTCTTCAGGTGTTTCTTGAAGACAGAGAGGGACTCGGCAGAATGGATGAAGTGTGCGGCATTGCACAGCCTGCCACTTACAAGGAAGCTGCGGAGAGTCTGACAGGACTGTACACCTCTGAAGCCAAATGCAAGGCACAAAACGCCACTTTTAATGATGTTACTTTCAACACAAGGTCACACTGGCTGTCCCCTGCCAACGCCTCTCACACGGGTCCCTGCAGGCCTACCTTAGTCCAGGTGATCTTCACTTCGCCCGATGCGTTCTTCTGCACCGTCACCGCCACGTTCTCCCCGACCCTTCTAACGATCGTCCCCGAGGGGCTCAGGCTGACGTCCAGGTCTGGAGAAGAAAATAATGAAATGAGCGTTAAAGGGTCTTTTCAGAAAGCCCTTTCAGCTGGCTGCAGGCACTTAGCATGTGCCTCATTTATCCTGCTTATTAAATCCATTAAAACATTTTTGCTTTCAGAAGAGGAATTCACTTTCATTGCATGGGTGACTTCCTGAGAGGCCACATCCCTCCTCATTTTTCCCTGCCAGAGTCTCATTCTTCCCTTCTGCACTCCGCTTCTCTTTCACCATTTTATTTAATTGCATTTATAGTAATCCAGTAATCTTTAACAGCGATATAGGAAACACACAGTATCGGTGTTTACAAGTATTTTTATAACTCATTTTTTTTCTCATGACACGTCTTCCATAAAACCCTGTGAAGTAACCTCCAGGGACTGCTACTTTTCCCACAAAACATATTTTCTGCTTTGAGATTCGATCCACATTCAGTACATTTGATGTGCAGGCTCCAATGTGCACCTTTGGAAAGAGTAATTAAGCGTGGACTCTAACCTTGCTTATCTGTGTTTTCAAAGGCTCTTTCCAGTAAGCGGTCATTAAAAGTGGGTATGTCACTGTCCGCGATCATTCCTTTTCACCCCCCCTCTTCATCTACTTGAAAATAAATCTAATTATCATCTCTCCAGTGGCTTCATGTGTGCCCAATTAACACTGCCGCTAATGGTAAAAATGCCCCAAAAATTTGATTTTCATGGTAAAAAAAGTGATTTGAATTTCAAAAACATATCCCTTCCTTGTTTACCAATAGTCTCATCCAGACAAGACATACATTATCTTAAAGCGGCAGTACAGTCAAATGCAAAATTAGTTGTGTTAAATGTATCAGGTAATTACACGCACGATTGGGCACTCCTACAAGCTCAGAAGCTGTCGATCCTTCTTCCTGCTGCTGCTGCGGACTGGCTTCACCCAGCCAGTACTTTTCAGCAGAGTAAAACATGAAGACAAAATGTTTTAGACAGAACAGCTGCTTTATCTGCAGGCGGCTCTCTGATTGCTTGAATACACTGATAATCACGCCGATACCTTTTTTTGTGAGCATGTCAATGTGCAATTTGTGCCTCTTGATGATTTCACTGTTTTGAAATGTAGGGAAAAAACTGGACTAATCTTAAACAAAACCATCAAGATGAGGCTTACAAATCCTTTAAATAGAGGTTGACCTACTGAAGAGCAAGCATTGCTCTTCATTTTCTGAACATTGAAATGATGGCCATGCACATACCTCTAACTGAAACAGTCACACATGGTTTATCCAAAGTGCACAATTCTTTATGTAACCTAAGTCTTTATGTAACCTAAAAACTTAAATGCAACACAAGCTCATAGTCCATTGAAAAGTACTCACTTAAACCAAGTTTTTTCCCCCACTTGTAAGTTTTTGCCAATAAAATCTATGCTGGTGTCCACAAATATGAAACTTTTAAACACTTTTTAAGCTATGGGTGTATGTATCAGTAGAACATTTTCAATAAAAAGGCAGTTTAGATCAATATACATTTTTATTTTGTTCATCCCAGTATTACTGATTATTTTTAGCTATTGCTATGGATATCTTTGCAGTAGCTGTCATGGACAATCTGCAATCCCATGATGCTTTGAACAAATCCTTCATTTTCAACTCTGTAAACAGTACAGGACTGAGAACCGGTCCAGTGGGGTTTGCAACAGCTTCTGTCTGAGAGTGTGAAAAGCCCCCTTTCACAGCGGTTGGCCATCAATAGCACACAAACAGCAATAATGACAGGTCAACCGATTCACCGGGAACAGGGAGAAATGCAAAGAGCCGACTTACAGCTGACAGTGATGTTCTTGGAGTCTACCAAGTTGTCGTTGTCGACGGGGGAGCACTTGTACTCTCCTGTGCTGTCGCGCGTAACGCCTATCAGTGTGTAGGTGTCCGAGTTGTCCACTGTCACTTTCTTGCCCTGTTTGAGGAGAAAAGTCACGCTGAGAAACCCAGAGGGGAAGAGCCATTGCATGGCACTCTGGACAAGAAAACACCCCCCTTTTCCCCCCACAGATGGTACAGCTCACACAGATGGAACACTTCTCGGGGCCTGATTGGCTGGGTGGAGGACAGGGGCGTGGCAGAGGACACTTGCCTTGATGTGGAAGTTGTAGCTGGTGGGGGGAGGGTTTCCGTCGCCTTTGCACTTCAGGGTCACATTGTCGCCCTCCTTCAGGGGGACTTCGGACACCACCTGCAGCTTGACCTTCTCCGTGGGGTCTGCAGTGGGGCCGCGTTCGCCACGGTGAGAGGACAGACAGAACAGGCAGAGGTGTCAGGTTTCACGCGGGCAACGGCAGACGGAAGCATTTTTGTGATGCTTCTCCGTACGCGCGCCGAATTGCCCCCTTGGCTCTGCTGACTTCATTTTTCAAGTCATTTCCTGTAGTGGACGTCGCCTTTGAAGGCAGCAGCGGAGCGAGTCATATTGCATCTGCACCCCGAGGAGCAGCACAAAGCTGCTTTCAACCCTCAGTAAGTACTGCTCCACACCAAGTAAATTACTTGCATTTTGCTGGACATGATTCAAACAGCCCCCCTGCATTTCAATATGACACATTTCAAGGGCCACTTACGGTAAAGGACACCAATGACGCTGTCCGTGACTACCGCTGAACTCTGAATTAAGCGCAGATCCAGACACACGTCCTCTTACCACCATTAGGGTTTCAGTACGCCAAAAACCAGCCATCCATACAGCAAAGCAGCCACAGGATTAAAAGTAACGATACCGTTTTGTCAATATTCTAAGGAAAACAACTTTTGGCAACTCGACTCTTTCGAGTGATTAAGAAAGAAAACAGTAATCAATCTCACGGTCACATCATTGCCGCTGCCTTTTAGAGCAGGCGGTAGATCAATATCTGACTTGGGCTGGATTCCCCTGCTGCTCAGTGCGCTTCACGAGTTGACGCACTGTTTCCCCCTAGGGGGCGCCGCTGTACACTCACAGTGGATGGTGAAGGTCTCAGGTGCAGACACCTGGTCGGGCGCCAGGCTGTGGTGGGAGCTGCAGGTGAAGGTGGCGTCCACGTCTCCCTTGGAGGCCGTGTACTGCAGCTCGGAGGTGGTGGTGGAGAGGCCGGTCTCTTTGTCGACCGTCACCGTCGGCGTGATCACGATCACTGCAAGGGCGTTGTTTAAAAACAAGTGACGAACGTTTGAATCAAGGAAATAACTCAGTATCCACTATCCCAAACAGTCCCACCCAATACTAAACCATGGAGCATTAAACTCCACGGTTAAGTATTGAGCTCCATGATTTCCTAAGTACTGAGAGCCATGCTTCCATGGTTCCATTTTTTAGGGGGTGGCAGTGTAGCATAGCGGTAAGGCGCGGCTCATAACCGAAAGGTTGCTGGTTCAACTCCCCACAGGGGCACAGCTGCTGTACCCTTGGGCCTGGTACTTAACCCAGAATTGCCTCAGTAAATATCCAGCTGTATAAATGGCTAACATGTAAAAAAATGTAACCTATGCAAGTTGCTATGGGTAACAATGTCTGCTAAATGACAGCAATGTAAAGTAATGTAATGTAATGTAGATGTGGAATGCCTGCATGAATCTGATTCACCGGGGAACCAAACGACTTACTCTTCCCATCAGCCACCAGCGGGATGCCGTTCCGGGACCATGTGATGTTGGCGACTGGATTGGCGCCTTCAGAGACGCACTCCCCGAGCTGTGAGACAAATGCGAGAGTGAGCGTGCAGCAGGGACCCGTTTCGCCATTCTCCACACCAGCTCCTCCTAATGATGCTTGCGCAAACCGCCGCATAGCCGACATTTGTTCCGACTGCACGCAGAGAGCGCGCTGTACGGGCCTGGCTTTCACGTAACGGGTTTAATTACTGTGAAAAACGCTGTTCATCGGGCAATAAAGCAGAGTGTGCTGTTCATTTGCTGAATCGCTCCCTTGAGTTTGACTCCTGACGACAGAGACATATTGAGCCCACTGGATCCAAGGCATGGAATGCGGTTTTCTGCTGCCGCTGCCAGCATCTCCCCACCACCCCCCGTAACAGCACGTCTCCGTGGAGATGTTCTACCCTCTGCGTGAGTCTTAATGGAGTTCCAGAAAACCTCATTTATGGAGTCGTATTTCTGACATTCATGTTGTAACTCGATACAGCCAGGCCCCCCAAAACCCCCTCTCCTTGCCCCGCGGTTCCCTCGCTAGGACATCCTGGGAGGGATTCATTCTGACAGCCACCTTCACCGCAGGTGACAGCTTTAAAATTTTAACACAGCATCACCGGGGCCTCAACAGCCTTAGCAAGCAATTTAAGATGTCTGCCCCCGAAAAACAGACTGTCGCCAGTGCCTTTCCGGTTGTCCCTGCTCCGAGGAAAAATGAGTCTGCAGAAACTCTATTACAGTAAAAGCCGGACCCGCATTAATAAGCGCGTGACAGGATTCCGTGCGGGGCGGTGATGGAGGAATGTAGCATTGGAGCAGGGCGCCCAAAGTGGACGAGGAGGAAAACGCAAACAGCCAAGTGCGAGGGAGCGGAGCCGGAGAAATGCATCATGGGGGTTTGAGCGAGAGGGGAGGCCAGGGAAACCGGACCCATTCATAAACGACAAGGGGAGGAAAAAATAAAGCAGAGAACCAAGCTACAGAGGCGGCATCAGATAACGAGGAGAGCCTCTGACAGGAACGGGCTGCGATCCGTCACAGTGTATTTATATTACCGTCAGCACTCTCAGGATGGCCTACCCTGTGCCATACCTCTCAGAGCTGCCCGGGAAAGAAAGTACTCCACAGAAAAACACAAAAACAAAAAACAAAGCAAAAAAATCGCTTTCACCACCTGCATTGCAGACCCTGGGAGGGGACAGCCGCTTATCTTTCAGACGGCCCGTCGCAGGGCCTCGGTCACAGGCACACAGACAGACATTCCTCTTTCTGCTTTGTTTCAATCACAAACACTGGATCAAGCTGTGACCTAAACTGGGGGGGGGGACGGACGGCACAGAGACGGGGGCTGCTGTTGAAAGCAGAATTTCAGAGAGGGGGATCACAGCTCCTTTTCTGCAAGCGCTATATCAAACGGCACTTTGAGCGCTCCCCGTTTTCGCCAGCGGTTTTCTAGCGCAACACCACCCTCCTTCCCCTGGGTGTTCTGCTCGATGTTCGGAGAGCACAGACTTGGATCCGGCTGACGCGGTGCTTAAGGCAACGTTAAAGACAGGAAACAGCCAGCGTCCTTCAAAAAGAAGGATCTGGAAAATGTCTGCGTATAAAAACATTTTTCAAAAGAGGGAAAAGGGTTGCTTTTGTATTCAATTTGTGTCAAGCATAATGTCTTTCCCTCCATCAGGTCCGTAGTGAATACTATTGTAGTGTGATTCTAATATTACGGCTAAGCATCTATCTCCATTTGCTTTTAAAGCTTTTTCAGTCCTGACTGCTTTCAAAGAAGAATATTCTGCTAGTTGTTATTAATTGAATCACTTCAGTGTACAGAATCCAACAATGGCAGAGTGCTGAAAATGTTCCTACCTCCTCCACACCTGCACAAGGGTGACCTGTGCCAACAAGCGCTCGGTATCATTGAACAAAATGTGAATGGCTGGCAGAAACAGGGAACGCAAATAAATAAATGAGTGAAAGGCCGTGTTCCTGGAACAGGTTTGGTGCATCTGTGCATTGGGGTTGTTGTGCTGAGAAATATTGTTTTTTTTTCAAGTGCTTTTGCCTTGAACTCAATCAGAGGTTCATTAAACATTGCATTCAACCCACCCTGGTCAGTTTGCCATCCTCCAGCTCTTTTGCTTTCTCTGTGATCTGCGGTGGCAGCGGTTTCTCTGGAGAAAACATTTAATGGCACAGAATGAGGAAAGAGACATATAATAAATTCAACTTTCAATCACGCAGACTTGTTGAGTACCGTTTCTGAAGATCTCAGCATGCAGTCATGAATAGGCATTCATTTCATCTATGATGGAAGCTTCTATGGAAATATTAGATCTGACACTCATTTCAGACACACTCAAACCCTCACACAATGCCCTCCCTCAGGAGATGCATGGAAGGAGCACTTTGTTATAGAACTTTTAACTCTCTCAGAGACGGGAGAGTGGTGCTTAAAGCACTCCTTTGTGGGCGGTGGGTGTGGGTGTCACAGCATAATTTCAGTGACTCTGTGATTTGAACCTGGCAGGACAGGAAACTTGCCACAGGCTTCCAACCCTATCGACCGCCAATGGAAACTTTAAGTACTATGGAGTTAATAGCAGTCTCCTGTCCAGCTGATACCTTTTTTTGAGGGGTTGTCTTTTTGCTGGATTATTTCATCATACTTGTCTACTCTTGGGGAACTCGTGAGCTTTGGCTAGGCAGTTGGATCAAAGCTTTACTCAGGGAGTGGTTGTCTGGGGCTTGCTGTATGGCACTCACTGTGAACCAGGACATTGATGGGGTACAAAAGGACGTCCGCCTCGGTCACCACCATGCAGGTGAAGGTCTTCTGGTCCTCCAGGGTCCCGTGGGCGATGAGCAGGCTGGAGGTGTCGGAAATGTTCACTCGGTCCCTGTACTCATCTGAGGCCAGTATGGAGGCCTCGTCCTTCTCTTTCCTTTTAACCAGGAGATCTCCAGCCGTCCCGTCATCTTTGTCCTGTTCGAGACAACAGTTGCTAAAGAGATTCAAACCTTTCTTATTCTAACTCTTATAGTTAGCACACATATGCTGGAGAGGTGCACTGTCTCCTGTAGGCCACACCTGTCGAACGTTCATCAGTTTGACCTTAGAAGCCGACCCTTTCGATGTCTCTAACCTCCAACTTTTTCTGCACAAAGTCGGTCAGTTTCTAGGCCTTAAAAATAACAATAAAATTTAAGGCCAACACACATCTGTTTGTCCAGCTATTATTTTAAAAGTGACAGTGGAATGGCCATCATCTTCAGCACATTTTTTTAGTTTAGGAGTGGCTTCAAAAATTGAACTGACAAGACTTACATGGACTCAGTTTCTCTTTAAAGCTATACTACAATCTGTGCCAATTGCATTGGAGGGAGATAATCCCCCAATTTTTGGCTGCAAATTTCAGCCTTTTTCAAGGGTCCATAAAGGAGACTAGTGTCACACTTGACACTTAACATTGCAGTGGGCTTGTGCACAGATAATTGCCCTTGAAAGTACTATGTAATTCACATGTGAAGTTACAAAAAGTATTTAAGGTTTGCTCCACACTAAATACTCTGTAAAAAGAGGTACTTTAAAATTACATAGTATAAATGTAATTGCCCAGATACAGGGCCATGATAATGTACAGTTACTCTAAATAGGGGCCTGCAAACTCTGTGATGGCTCAAAGCTTCATTAGTTAGTGTGCATATTTGCACAGGGAAAAGCAGGCTTTTCTTTTTTTAGGACCATTAATCCCAGACTAGCAGGTCTGTGATGACTAAGATCTGACAGGTGAGGTTTCACTGGCTGAATGAATCTCTAACTGTTATTTTTCCACTGTGTGTTACTAGCACAACATTCAGCAGAATAACAGACTCAAGAGGCAAAACTTACGTATTTCCATTTAATGAACATATAGTCACTGGTCACTGGAGCTCCTGTGCTGCAGGGCACTTCGATGGTCTCTCCATACAGGCCTACGATGGTTTCCAAAGCGCTTACTGGAAAACAAAAGACAGCTCATTATACCTCTTTTACTCAATTACACACTGGGCTATCTCCACTGATATGGGAAATTCAGCAGAAGCAGCTGAGTAAACACACATTGACCTGCTTGCAGTCCTCATCAGGCATTCTGCTCATCCGCTGAAACACTGACGGAGGTGACAACTTCACAAGCGACTACACTCTGACTAATCCTGAAACTGAAATCCTCTCTGCATGAAACGGAACAGAAGGTTTCCTTTTCTTAAAAAAATAATGAAATAAAAATTAATGATAAAAAAAGGAAAAGGCATGTCTCTGATGGTTATCAGACATTCAGCATGTTCTTATTAACGGTTATTAACAACAGTTACTGGCAACTTGAAACACAGTGCACCTTGCACAGTAAGAGTGTGATGGTGAGGTTACAGGTGGACACTCATCAGTGTACGCGTTGGCACAACCCCCCAGACCACGCCCACCTACAGGAGCTTTGAGAGGTAAGGGTAGGTGGGATACTAATAAAGCGTGTCATGGACTGTCTGATTATTATTTAACCTGTGATGTCACAGAGGGAGAATCGTGGGCGATGGAATATCACGAATTTCACTCCTGTTAAATGAGTTTCCTGTGTTCCACTGCAGCTGACCCACAGGTGAGTCACAAACATGGGAATATCCCCTTCAACGGGGCAGGCCTGATAAAACTGACTACTAAACGTATATCTTTCCATAAACACACTGTAGGCGTACACAAGCAACTGA